CAAGGCAATTCAACACAATGAACATTTGTGTGTTTATCATTAGGATCCAACATGAAGCTTATCATTCATCCCAAATTGGTTATAGCAATTATGAAGCATGATATGCCAAGATTCCTCTTAGGTATTATGGAAGTTGGGGAAGCCCACAACACACCTTCTTAATCAAGATCAAGGGTTTAATTGAAGCAATTGAACCCAAGAAGTTAATTAGCCTTAAGAGAGAAGGAATCCCCAATTCCTAGAGGATGTCAATGCTTACACATCCATAAAGGAGCTATGATTCATAAACTAGAGATGATTTTTACCATCATAAAGCCCTTGTTCTAAGTTAATTCAATGATTCAATGCAAAACCAAAGAAATAAACTAACAATAGCTCATTCAAGTGCCAAGCTCATGATCAAAGCATTAAACAAGCATAAGAAATATGATCTAGAACCATAAACATAAGATAATTGATAATCTAGCATGAATCCTTCAAAAACCCACAAACATTCAAAGGTTTTAACCAAAGTTAACCAATATAAAGAGTTTAGCCACTCATGGCAATAGAACAACAATCACAAAAGTCTAATTGCATAAAGAAACTACCTAAGACTTGGAAAGATGAAAGGAAATGGGTTTCTAGCTCCAAAATCGCCTCTTCCAGGTCTCCAATGGTGTCAAATCGAAGTTATGGCTGCTAGGTCTGATCCCCCAAGGTAATGGCAAGCCAAATGACCAAAATGCCCAAACTGGGCAGTTGCGCGGGTACCCGCGCGACGAAAATTTCACCCGCGCAAATGTTGCTGTAATGCTATTGGTCCTTCATTCCACCACTCCACCCTTCCACTACCAAAGATTCCTTTAGTCCCCTCAATATCCATGTGATTCAAATCAGCCAATCATCTTTTATCTTCAAATGTGGATGCTCCAAACCCAAATTAATTATCCATGATCCATTTTTCACAAGCCCACTTCATCCAAGCCTTTATCTTTTTAAGCCCAAATCTTCTTTGGTGGATCCGCCAAGCCCAATAGCGCCTCGAGAGCCCACAAGTCCGTCTTCGCTTTAATCCATAATCGCGATAAGCTCCAAAACCCTGTAAAATACCTCATGCAACATAAAAAGCACCCGACACGATCCATACTAAAGAAAATAAATAAAATACAATGCAATAATGATAAAAAGATCTAAAAATCTAAAATAAACTAATAAAAATAAGGAAATAAAATAAGCTATCACATCGGCATATAGATGGTTGTAAACTTCAAACAATTGCATAGAAGAAAATGCTACAAATAAGGAGATTGAAGTGGCTAATATCTATGTCTGGCAATGGAGCGGGTTTTGACCCTGATCCGATCCAAACCCTTAAGAATTATATGGGTTTGGAGCATAGTTTTTTATTCGTTTACCTGTTAACGACCCGTACCCGCTAACCCTTTTATTAAAAGGGTCGGGTATGGATCATCACAAATCCGATCCGTTTATAACCGGCCCCGTATAAATTTTAGAAATATACGTTTATATTTTATCATGTCTAAAGTTTAATTTTAATTATAATCGAAAGTCCAAAGGGAAAAACCCAAAGGCCAAACTATTTTTACATAGGACTCGAGGAGTCAACTTCTAGATGGTCTATTAACAAGAATCATGGTATCATTTCATTAATATTTCATCAAGTATGTAGCACCCGGTTCCTGGTACGTATTTTCATTCAAGTATTTATAACATTTTGGCCTGGGACTCGGCGAGTTGAAGGCCCAACTCGTCGAGTAGAATCGACTTTGGATGCGAGAGTTTAGTGACCTACTCGACGAGTCGGCGAACCGACTCAACGAGTAGGTGCTGTTTGGGAGAAACCCTAAATTTGAGGGTTTGCACCGTATTTAAGCATCTCATTCAGCCTCCCTTCGTCCCTATTGCTCTCAGAACTCTCCATATCAAACCCTAATCGTTTGTGTAAAGATCTAAGGCCTTTGTGGTGGTTTTTGGTGATTTTGGAACACAAGAAGGAGGAGAAAGGCTTGAGGAATCAAAAGGAGGCCAGAGGTGTTCGAGTTTGTGGACCCTCTACAGTTCTTTAGAGGTATAAAGTTGATACCTTGCTCTTTCATGTTTTAGAACTCTTTTGGGGTGATTTAGGGCTTTTAGGAGCCATTCTTGGTGACCAACCATGAATGCAAGCATGGTTGGGGGCTAAGACTTCAGATCCAGGGTCTTTGGGGGGTTACAAGGCAGAAAGGGACTGATTTTGGAGCCTTGGAGAGCCCCATGCACCATAAGAGCCTCATTTAGGGCCATTTGAGCTCATTGTCCCATGCATGCACGTAAAGTTTGTAACTTTACGTGCTAGATCGATCCTAGAAGCCTAGATCTATCTTTTGGTCAAGTGTTGTATGTCAGAAATCGAGAAATAAGACTTGGTCATTCTCGACTCGGCGAGTCGTTCTTGGGACTCGGCGAGTCCATGGTTTGACTTCCCTTTCTGTTATGGTTCGAAGGAACCCAGTGAGTGTTAGAGTGGTCTTAGAGGGGTCCGGGGGAATAACCCAACACATTGGACTTAGCCATAAACCTGGGAATTATAGGACTCGACGAGTGTATGAACAGACTCGGCGAGTCCAAGGCAATCTCCCAACGTTCGAAGATGAACTCGACGAGTTGTTCATACAACTCGGCGAGTCAAGGACAGACTTGTTCATAGGATGAGGATGAACTCGACGAGTTGTTCATACAACTCGGCAAGTCGGATGAAGGTCCGTTCGAGGATGTTTTAGAAGGAGAACTCGTTGAGTCTTTGCTAAACTCAACGAGTAGGGGTGTGAAGAGGGGCAGACAGAAGGATAGGTACTCGACGAGTTGGCGGCCCAACTCGACGAGTCAGGTCAACTGGAAGTTGATTTTGACTTTGACTTGGTCAGGGGTAAAACAGTCATTTTTACCCTAAGAGTAGTTATCAGTGTCTGACTATGTGGTTTATGGAATTATGGCCGGAGGATCACCGGAGCAGTAGTCAGACATCTGCCGATCAGCTGTTCAGCAGTCAGCCTTGCGAGGTGAGTTACCTTCCAGTAGCGGTGGGTCTACGGCCACAATGTCGGCCCACCAGTAAGAGTTGTATGTTAGATGACTGTCTTTGTGATATTCATCTAGGTTTGCTACTACCTGATGTGTTATGTGCTAGTATGATATGATGTTATATGCTGGTAGCAGTAGGGGAGATAGTCCCCAAGATTTCCGGTCGATAGGGCCGAAGGGGGTAGTGATACCCAGTCATGCTAGATAGAATATGATTATGTGTTATATGTTATGTGGTAGTAGTAGAGGGGTGAAATAGTCCCCAGTATCCGGTCGAGAGGACCGAAGGGGAGACCAACACCCAGATATGCTAGGCAGTATCCGGTCGAGAGGACCGAAGGGGAGGCCAGCACCCAGATATGCTAGGCAATATCCGGTCGAGAGGACCGAAGGGGTAGGTCGAGCACCCAGATATGTCTGACAGTATATGTATGTTATGTGATTGTATGGTATGCAGTACTATGGGGGAACTCACTAAGCTTCGTGCTTACAGTTTTCAGTTTTGTTTCAGGTATCTCTTCAGCAAAGGGGAAGGAGCCGGCGCGGTAGCTGCACACCATACACACACACACACGTTGGGTTTCCGCATTACGAGATTCTTGGTATTGTACTCTGACATTATTATGTTTATGGTTTGATTTTCAGACATGAGATATTGGTTTTACGAAATGATATGTCCTTACGATGTTTTTCTTATGGAAGTTTTACAAATCAATTAATTAAAAATGAAATTTTTGGACTCGAAATTTGGGATGTTACAAAGCAATCATTAATTTCATTTATAAATCAATAAAGTCATTATCAACCGAAAAAAGTTTGCAATTGCTATTCTCTATCACCACATTCAAAACCCTGCGGGTTACGGAGCGGGTTTGGATTGGATTTTGAAATTTGTTAAACGTGTTTGGATCAAGGTCGATTCGTTCCAAACCCGCCCCATTGCGAGATCTACTAATATCATGCTTTGGACTTCATCAATAAGTTGCCTCGAGCAAGTAAAATGTCTATTTAATTTCATTATAATCATTTTACTAAAAGCAGTAACATCATCATTAATGGTGTTTTTGTCAAAGGCTTACAATGGTAGATGAAAATGTGGATGGAAAGCTAGGAATGCAAAGAAGAGAAAGATTTGCATCGTTATCATTTACGAATAGCGATGAATGTGGTGGCTGAGCTAGTGGGCTTTGCTGCCCAATGGGGGAGGTGTCCAAAGAAGAGAGATTTTCATTGCTATCATTTACGGATTTTTATGGTGCGGATGGAAAGCTAGTGATGCAAAAGTCTTCGATAATGCTAGGACTTCGTCGTTAAATTTGGAGGATAACATAATCACTTTGGTGTGTGTAAAATATAGGGACAAGTTTGGTGATTGTAATTGGTGTTTGGGGTTGTAATCCTTTTGACATTTTATAATTTGTTTTCTTTCTCTTTTGCCTTTTGCCTTGTTTTTCTTTAAAGGCTAGTGTACCGTTTCAAAAAAAATTAAAAATAAAATAAAATAAGAATCAATTATTGGGTGGGCAGAAAAAGAGAATAGCAACAAGGGCTATTCTCCTACTTTGGACTTGTAGTTTAATTTTTCTTTAAAAAAAATTTCATTATTGCTTTAATCAAACCATGTAAAAACTATTGTTTACTCAATCCGAAGTAAGGTTGTTAGTTTTTAACAATTAATTGATACTCAAGTTTTCTGTAATATTAAAAAAGTATATTTGAACATAAATATACAGTCAAACTATTACAAGAGGAATCTATTCATCTTCACCAAACAAACATTATATGGTTACTCACTGACAAATACATGTACAGCTTATACCATATACAACAAAACCTCTGCCTTGAAGATGTATGAATCATCTAATAAAATAAAAACGGTGCCCTTTTGTAAATTAATTTGTTCCTAATTAACATACAATTAATTTATAAGACCTAAACTAATCCCTCAAACAATCTTGAGGTTTTGGTTTGATTGTGATGGGTTTACCAAGCTTAGATTTATCTTTCATTTTTGCAATATCACGGGCCTTGTCACAAACAGGAAACCCTTTATCATCCCATGATTCCAAAATTACCCCTGACCCCACACAAACCTCTTGTATATAAAAAGCTGCAAATTGGCCAGCCGCCAAACCCTGATCATCTTCAGGTAATTGGACAGTGCCAATACCATCTTTTTCTATATCCAAACTGCAATCATAGAAAACCGGGCCATGCCGAACCTATCAAAAATGTGTAAATGTTGACTTTTTCTATTAAGTCTGTTCTTTATGTATTAAGTGAAAATTTAAAATCATGTAATATGTTTATGTTTACCTTGCATCTTAAGTGGTTTAAGTTGTGAGGAGGAGATCCGCTGATCCATCTAAAGGATCCAACACGAAATGATCGCCTTTTTTTATCAACGGAATAATAGTTTCTTGATACAAAAACCACATTATTTTTTACATCTTTCGAAACAACATACCTGCGCATGGAAACATGACATGTATTTTTATAAATAAATCTTTAAAGATTTGAATAATAATAATAATAATAATAATAAAAAGTGAAAGATTTATAGTAAATTACCATGGTCCTCCTGCAAGACCCAAACCTTGGCGTTGACCAAATTGTGTGAAACCAGAAGCCCCTGTGGACTCCTAAAAAATCACCGGTTTCAGCTTCCAGTAGTATACCTTCTTTTTCACCAATATGTCTTCCAACAAATTCACTGAACTTAATCTGTATAATAATTACATAAATTTCCACTTCAAATATATGTATATCATCTCCAAAGTTGGGATTTTTGTTACATACCTTCCCAAGAAAGCATATTCCCAGTGAATCCCTTCTTTCTTGGTTAGGCAAATCAAATTTCCGGGCAAGCCTTCGGACTTCATCCTGATAATTTCATAGTCGATATTTAAATAAACAGTAAATTCATAAATTCTGTTTTTTTTTCTTCATAAAGCAAACTTACTTACTTTTGGAATACATCCAAGAGGAAGCACTAGTCTTTTAAGCTGAGCTTGTGAGAGATATGAAAGAAAGTAGGTCTGATCCTTCACCTGAAATTCCAACATGTTATGTATCCCTCAGTGTAAGTTGGTAATGAAAATAAGTAGCATATCTTTACCATATCTTTTGAGAGCTGAAGAAATGAAAGCTCATTGGTTTCATCTGTAACAACTTTTGCATAATGTCCAGAAGCAACAAAGTCAAAATCCATGTTACTGATGGCATCCATGAACGCACCTACAGATATAAAAGTCACAAATGGGAACAATAAAAGATGAAAGCAAGCAATATGATTACAAACTGAATTTGATTCTTGTATTGCAAAGAACATCAGGGTTAGGCGTACGCCCATATTTATACTCATCAATAAGGTAAGATACCTGCAACATTGTAACTTGTAAGCAATAAGTTCCATTGATGATGATGAATGTGAGAAAATGCATTGTGAGTTTGTGACTAACCACTCTGTCCCAATATTCATCTGTCAGATGTACAACTTCCAGTGCTACATCAACCTGAAGCAGATTTGTAAAAAAAAATGTTGATATATTTCCTTCAATACTAATCAAACTTTGGAGATACAAAGAAAAAGATCACATAATCAGGGATTTGAGTGATAGAATCGACAACTTCATTTGTTAAAGCAAAGCAGGGAAGTGTTTTTGAGCCTTGAAATCCAGTTAAGCACTAACGAAGATCTGAAGATAAAATGAGATGGATAATATGAAGGTGAAGAAAGCAACCTGATTGCAAACAGCTTTTGCGTACTTCAAATCCTCTTCCCATGGACATTCAGACCAAAAGTTCTCAAAATCTTCCTACCAACGAATTCAGTACCAGAACTAGCTAAGGAATTATAGGTTTCAAACTTCAAAATGCTCAAACACAAACAGAAAAGTAAAAGTAAAATGGAAACACGAAAATAAGAAACCGATAAGAGAGGAGATTTTTTGTTCATTTCAATCATATCATCCACCACAAATCGATGTTAAATTCTTGATCATCCGACAAGAGATGAGCAAAATTGCAAACACTTACACTTTGAATTTTTAGATAACCAACAAAATTAGGTTTATATTTGAAACCAGACATTGTAGATTGCGGGCATAAACCTGAATGGGTTTATTCGTATATGCAATGTAATGTGCAGTCAAAAGAAAAGCATACGCCCTTGGAACCAGATTTTAAGGTAGAATGCGGTGCAGGAGTGTCCGACTGTGTGGAGGAGGCGAAGTGCGACACTGCTATCAACGCCACCACTGAGAAGAACTGCAATTTTGAGAGGGCGCTTGCTATTGGGCATTAAGCAAGACAAGTAACTGTTGTCCAAATCAGAAGTCGTGTCGTTCGAAATTTGGGGAACTGTTGTAGATGATAGAGAACGAGGTGTGTCGATGGATAAGATCGTTCTAACAGCTCGAGTGTAGCTTTGTCGAATTATTAACCGCAGGGGTTTGTGAAGCGAGTGTGAGGCGAAAGCCTTGAGCGGTTAAGAGTAAAGCTTGGTGGTGGGGTGAAACAGAGCGGCCATTGTTGTTCTGAGCATCATTTCATCGAGCTGTTACATTGTGTGAAAATAATAATTTAAAATGAACTATTTACACTTTCACCCCTATACTTTAAATAAATTTCCTGTCACTTTTACGTTAAGACATAAACAGTTAAACACTACTACCAGCCCAATAGAAAGCCCAAGCCCAAAGAAGGTATATAAGCTTAACTGTAAATTCTATAGCAAAATAGAACCAGATTTTTATTACGGACATTAGTATAGTTAACCAACCTTAAAGGAATCTTCCAGGCCACCCATTTCAATGAGATAAATAGAGTGTTGTATATGGCAAAACGAGAATGAGGTTCTGCAGATCGAGACCATAGAACTAGGTTCCATTTTATCTGGCAAAATAATACAACAATTAGCTAACAAATTATTACGTTGGTAAATCACAAACCCAGTTTGTTCTTTATGGGATTTCTACACAATATGTGATTTTGTTAACACGTTACGTTTGGTAACAAAAGGACAAAAATCCTTACCGAGAGCTGTTGTCGACGACTTTGAGGAAGCTAGAGGACGGCGCTTCCGGCCGCGTCTCTTGGAGGAGGCGGTGGCCGGCTGGTGGCGAAGGGGCTGGAGGAGTTTTGCAGATCGGAGATGCAGTCGGAGGGATAAGGAGGTATCGTGTGAAGTAGGAAGAGAGAGGAAAAACAGGAGCTAGAATATTAGCATAAAATTGGGCCGAGTGAATAAATCTAGGTTTAAATTTGTTTCATTGTACAAAAACATGGGCTTAGGGACTGTTTGGTAAGATCTGAATTCTTAAGATCTGAAAAATTAAGAGGTCTGAATTTTTAAGAGGGTCCGAATACTTAAGATCTGAATTTTTAAAAGCTGTTTGGTTGGATCCTATAAATTACAGATCTCATTTTACCCTTATATATTATCTTTGTGTTGAATCCAATGTTTTTATTTATAAAATAAATGAACTTCTTGTGAAGAATAAAAATATATATATATATATATATATATATATATATATATATATATAAACCATACAGAATCCAAATTAAACATAAATAAAAAAATTAGCACATAACATCAAGAATTAACACATAACATAAAAAAATAGCACATAAAGTCATAAACAGCAAAAATCAGCCATTGGAACTCATTTATTCACAAGAGGTAACAGCCCAAACAAAACACCATTTGTTCTTCTTCTTTCACATCTAGAGGCTGTTGGAACAGCCCATGACCACCGTACCAGCCTCATCCTTCTCCTTTGACAGTCGACAGAAAACCCACAAACACCCCTCCTTCCATCGAAGACCACAACCCAAATACCCCCTATTCGCACAATGTTTCCAGTCGACCCCACTTCTCCACCTGTTCACGATGAACACATCAAAACCAAACATTCCATGCCCTCCTTTGATTTCTGTCAAAACAAACAAAAAAATGAAGCTAGTCGCTACTTACCTTGCCCAATCAAAGACTTCTTTTTGGTCTGCCTTCGTTTGCCCTTCGCGACCGGCCAAAGACCGGAGACCCCTTTCCCTTCGTTTTCTTCTGATCATATTTTAGACAACAGGGAGCATCTTCTACACTTTAAATTGATTTCCGTTTTCACATCTCAGAAAATCGCATTCATATTTGATACAATAAACTCACAACAATTTTCGATTTCACACCATGAAGACCCATTATCTCAGTGGGGGATTCGATTCAGAGCTTGGCTAAGGTTTGATTTCAGCAATGGGATGGTGTGCGACGTCGGCTCTGGCGGTGCGAGGGCGTCGCCGGTGCTCTGTGACTTCAAAGATGCAGAGACAGAAGAGATGGGAGGTTGGTGTTCGATGGGCGGAAGAAGAGAGACGAGGGTAGAGTTAGGGCAAAAAGGAAACACATTCTTTTTTTTCCTTTCAGATGTGCCTTTATGTCTGACCGAATAAGATTATATTTTCAGATTCAGATGCAAATATAAGAAGTAACCAAACGGTCTGAACCAAAAAGATTCAGATCTGTCTCTTATTAAGAGGCATTAAGATGCTACCAAACAGGGCCTTAGTAAAAAGGTTATTTTTGAAGTCCAAAAAGTGCAGACAAATATTTTTAAAATAGTTAAGAATTATTCGACGCCAAATATATTGTAACAAACAATAAAATTGATAAAACTTTGAGTGCGTGAGAACCGGTAATGAAAAGATAATAGGTGACCAGAGCCGAAGCTATTTCAAAAAAAACATATGACATATACAAAAAGTAAAATGAAAATAAAGAGATAAACTGCATGTTCATCATTACTTGATCTACTAGTGGTTGATCAATCGGTGCTTTTAAAACGACAAAAACCAAAAAAAAAAAATGAAAAGTGGAGCTAAACCAACAAAAACCAAAAAAAAAAAAAAATCAAAAGTATACAAAAACTGTCAAGCTCAATAAAATCCACGGACCATTTATGTATAAAATAAAAACTAAGCCGATGAACTAGGGGTGTGCAAAAAATCCGCAAAACCGAAAAACCGAGCCGATCTGGTCAATCCGAAACCAAAAAAAGCGACTATCTACGGGTCGGTTTCGGTTTGGATATTTAGGTATCCGCGGAACCGAACCGTCATATATTATTCAAACATTAATCTCATTGTTCATGTTCATGAAGCATTATTTCTAATACATAAAGATTGGCACGCAATAAATAAACAAATAAATAATGATAAATATTAGTAACATAGAATTAAAAATATTAAAGATTCTACTGTAATCTTTTTAGATTCACTATAAGACTAAGCGGAGTGGCACTCGCCGTTGCCTCGCCAGCGTCGCCAACCTCACTAGAACACCGCCCCTAGCCCTCGCTAGGGGGGTCGCCACAGGAGACGTGCTAAACCTTTGGCGCGAAGAGAGAGACGGTGAGGAACAAATTTGATTGGTGGGAGTGGGGTTTGACTGAATTCAATTTTATAGTTTCGTTTTGAAAAAGCCCTAGCGTCCGGAATTAATCGAATTTGATTGGATGTGCAGGAACGAATTCAAATTTCCCAGAATTTGGATAATGTGTTGGGAGTAAGTCTTTCACCTTTGTTTTCTATCACCTTTGTTTTCTTTCACCTTTGTTAATCTTAAAGATCTTTCTGGTTTTGATCTTGAGAACCCATTCTCAATCTTTAAAGTTTTATTATGTTTTTCAGTCTTGTTCATAGACTCTTCTGTTTTCAGTTTTAAAAAAAACTGTTCAGATCATTAAGCTTTAGATTTGTTTCCATAGCTATGGCTATCTGCTGTTATTTTCCTGTGCACACCAGGTGTTCGATTATTTGCCTTTGTGAGAATACCACCGTGTAATTCAAATGAAAGCTATTAAAAATGCCTGAAATTGGTTGTAACAAAATACTAAGATTAGGAATTAGAGATGCTCCATGTGATCATGTCTGGTGGCTTCTGTTATATGGATTCAAAGAAACATTTAATCTGCTATAGATGTTCATGTCTTAATTACCTCTATTTTGATTTGATTAATCGACACTTGTTGATGCTCCTGGCATGGTAAGAGGCCAAATGAACTTCAAGAGGTTATAAATATTGTGTCCTAAATTGTAGTGGTTTCATTTTTCATATAAATATTGTGGATTTTGATCGTGAGGAATCTGGAATATGGATTTAAATTACTCAAATTCCATGATCTAACAAAGTTCAAAATGTCATTGCTTGCAGAAAGTGTGCCATCAGTCTACCAAGTCATGAGGGTATTGCCATTTTTTGGAAGGTTGCATCTTAAATGGTCGTGGAACATGTGATGTTAGATAAATGTAGTTGAATTTGGTCCCAGGGGTATTTTGGGAAAACTTTCCTAATTTAAGGTTTTGAGTTAGTTTAGGATTCTAAATGTACTTGAATGTGATGTTAGATAAATGTAGTTGAATGTGATGTTAGATAAAATGTTTGTGTATTAAAATAAAGTAATTTAATTAAATTAGAAAAAAGAAAATAAAAAAAATGAAGTGTTAGGAGTGTTACCACTCCTTACCAAATGCTAACCTTAGGTGTTAAATGAAAAAAAATGAGGTGGCATCCAAAAAGCTGATGTGGCAAGGGGCTAAGAGTGGTACCACTCCCCTTAACCTAATTAATCTTTTTGCATAGCTAGGGTGGTTGACAAATTTCAAGATCATCCGGTCCAATGGCCATGGACAATATCCACTTTGCATTTCTACATTCGGTTTATTTTCATTATTATAGTTATTATACAAATTATAATTAATTTATAATTAATGTTACTTGAACGTCATCATATTTTTTTGAGTCTCAAGCTTGCTTATTTTTTAAAGAAAGGCTTATTTTTTAAAGAAAGGATTGAAATAGAGTTTGTAGTTATGATTAAATTTGAAGTTTATATTTAGCGGGTACCCGTGAACTGAACCGTGGTTACCCATCTTTACGCGGTTCGGTTTTTTGCCAATTCGGTTCGACTTCGGGTAGTGCGTCTGAGGTACCCGTCCCACAATCACGGTTCACAATTTTATTATTATCCGAGCGGAACCGCCCCGTGAATATCCTTACGATGAACAGTACCAGTTCAGCCGGGTAGGCAGGTGTTCATCAGCTCTCACTCTCACATAAGCTACTGTTCATAAGGATGTTATGTCTTTAATATGTATATTAATATGTGAATCCACCGTAAAGAAAAAAAAATTAATTAATTAAATACACAATAATTATGGGTAGTGACCAAATAGAAATATCTATCTATAAACAATCAAAATGGAAATAAAAAAGAGGGTTCAAACTTTGAAGTAAACATAAAACATGTGCACAATGTACAAAAACACAAATGATACGAGCAAATATTAGTAATAAATCATGTTTGATGCATTAGCGTAAAATATATAGTCAAAACTAACAGGTGTAAGTAGACAATAAAGAATGAAAACATATACATATAAATGTCATACTCAAATGACTACTCTTATACTACTTCACTGTCTTGATTGTATGTCTTTATATTATTTTATCTCAGATTTTGGCCTCGGAAAGAACTAGTTCCTTCAAGTCTAACATCACATTATCTTCTCATTTTTTTTTTGGCATCCTCTCATCTTCACACAATTCATAATCGACAGCCAATCCTCTCCTCGTCGGGAACATCGTTCCCTCCACCTTGGGGTCAACAACATCAAAGGGTTTGGAGAATTCGCAGTTTGATCCCCTTCTTTTCCATTTTGTTTTTCTTTATTTATATAAGGAAAAAAAAAACAAAGAATCATTTACAACTTTTTTACATCTTTGTTTTATACGAAATTGTGTTTACAAAATTAGTTTTCTTTAATATAAATGTTTTCTTACAATTTTTACATCCTCATTTTTGTGCATGTTTTTCAAAGATTTTTACTTCTTTGTATATATTCGTGTACTTCTTAAGATTTTTTCATTTTTATAGATTAGTTTCTTTAAATACTCATTTTCATGCATATAAGGCTGTAAAAGATGTTAAAAAAAACATTGTTTTACCTATTCGTCTTCACAAACCAAAAGTGTTTAACTGTGTATAATTAAACTCAATTCTAGTGTAATCTTACATAAATACTCTGCAACAACAGGCGTGGGTATGGTAACTCTAATCTATAAAAATCTGTCTTGGTTGGGTGGTACCTTGAGGTCTGTTTCTAATTGCTACAAATACAATACAAGGCTTCAGGAGCTGATTACAAATATTTTGAATATAAAATTACATGAACATGAACATGAACCCTTGATAATTTAAAAATAAAAAATGAAAACTAAAGTGAATAAAACTGGGAATAAAGGTATTCCCGAATCTTGTAATACTCGTCGCACAGTGGACCTTCAATAACTATTTGTTGGATAGCAGCAGCACCACCCTACACAATTAAGCTTAAAGATTAAGAAAAAAGTAATTAATGAGTTTAATAGATTTTTACAAATTTGGCCTTGTTTATTTATTCCTTAGATTAGATTGGTTAACACAACATAACACACCTTCTGACTAGCATCACCAACTTTCCTCAATGTAACATACTCCCCACAACGCAGAGCCCCACCAGCAAATTCCACCTGGACACCCTTTCCAGCAAGGAACTGCTTAAAATCTGCCATTTTTAGATCTCCAACAAGCACAGACTTGTGAGGAGGAGGAGGAAGTGTTGTTGAAAGGGGGAGTAGTGAAGAGATGCTGCCATTCTCTGTCTTTTCTACCTCTGAATCAATCCACGCTATTTCATAATCTCCTAGCTTTATTTATGTACAGACAGATTCACCAAATACTTGATTAAACAAAATTTCACTTTTTGAATGTCATTGTCAGTCATATTAATCTATAGTTAAGTTATGTTTTAACATCAAGTTTCACTTTCACCAAAAAAAATTAACCATATAGTACCAAAAAGAATCAATATTTTTTCTAAAAAAAAAAAAAAAAACGTCGAAAGAATCCACCATGTGAATATGAAGAGTACTAGTACTTTGAAAGAATACATAAGTGGACTCTTTTTTGTCAGGGGAGATTTAAGTAATTATTGAAAAGGATAAGCAAAAAGTCGATGATGGTCAAACATAAATTTGTGAAAACCAAAACCACCATTTTTTATTTTTGTATTGAAGATATACATTATACAGAAATGCTCACCTTCTTAAACAGAACATTGCTCATCAGTTTCTCAGAGAGTTGCACCTAGTTTTCACACCAAGGAAAAACAAAAAAAAAAAAAAAAAAAAAAAACTGAATCAGATGTGGATATTGTAAGATAAACAATTGAACTTGTTGTGTACCTTGTAAGCACATAAATCTGATGTGACATCAATTGTTTCTTCAATTTGTGGAGCATATACATGGGGACAAACATGTTTCAGACAGTGTTGCTTCAAATGCTCGGTTGCCTCAGCTGATCCATGTACCAAAACCTAATATAAACAAACAACAACCATTTTACCATTAAAAACAGCTTCTCATTCTTTCTTTTTCACTTAATGGACTTAATAATTTTTTTTCTTCCATTTCCCAAAAGAAAACCCATACAAGTTTCAAGGGAGCAACATGTGCAAGAATTGATTTGATGGAGCGACCATCAGAACGTCCTTCAAAATCCATGTAAACCAAACAACATTTCACTTGGACCTGAAACACACAGTCACAATTACAATATAACAACTCAACAAATAGTAAATAAAATCATCAACATTTTTTTACATTTAGATTAAACACAAACTTACAGTAAGTTCAGAAGATACAACTTTTGATGGGGTTGTGTCAAGCATCAAACTAGCAGTGCCTTCATCAAGTTTTCCATCAAGATCTCCACCCACCTAAAACACACACTCTCACTCAAAACTCAAAACTCAAAATTCAAAATTCAAATGAACTTACAGCCATAGATCCCATGTCCATATCTTCATCCTTGATCACATAATCATCTGGATTAATGACTTCTCCAAAATCATCCCATTCAGACGTGTCATCATAAAAAGGGAACATCGGGGCAACACTCGAAGGTGGAATAAATCCATCAATCAATACATCACGATATGCTTCCCCAACAACTGCCATTTTCCATCAAATCATCTTTTAACATAATAAAAAAAATAAAAGAGTAACTAACTAGTAAAGGAAGAAATACCATCAGATTGAGCATGGCCATCAATGATCATTGGGTCAGATTTGGAAACATCAGTTCCAACCACAGCTTTTGAATTTGATTCCTCTTCCTTTACAAGACTGGCTTTCAAAGCCTCTTCCTTTTTAATCTTTTCTTGCTCTTCTTCATATGCAGCTAACTCCTCACCAACTAATGGAACTCTCTTTGAAAGGGTAACTTTAACAGCTTTAGGAGGTGGATCTGACTGAAGGATTCGTGCACGACTACCAAACTACATATACAAACACTCTAACTTGTCACAATCAATACATATATATTTGCCTATCTTCATCATTTATACTATAGTTGCTTTTTTAAGCAATATACCTGTCCCCTTTCGGTAAAAAGAACAAGATTTCTTGAATCAGCAGCCCATTCTACAAATATATCATGTGAAAACCCCACTTCTAAACTGGCCATAGAAGCCAGGACAATCTATAATAATAAATGCAGTCAATGCCATCATAAATATACTTGTACAATAACAAGTGCACTAAAGTTTTTAGCCTCCAAATTAGAAAGTTTGGCTTACTTTTGGGCCCTCTCGGATGTTTTCTAGTTCAGTCTTGTTGATCAGAAGAGTAACATGCCTGCAAATAAATGTATAAATTCCAGGTGATATGAACAGCAATCAAGAAATTATATATCAGATGAAAAACTCTTACTTCAAAAGAAAGGCATTATCACGAGTGTGCTCGAAAGACTTTGCTATTGAATCACTCATCCACTCAAGGAAACTCTTGACATAATCAACTGTGCTTGATGACACATACGTGAGAAAGAAGATAGGATAGGTCAAATGATGTTGTTCCCAATACTGCAACATCAGCAAAAAAATCATTATGATATAAAAAAATCTAGAGAAAGATAAAAATCACAGATTTTTTGCAGACTAACCTGTTCGAGTATCAAAAGCAGCTCCAGTATTCGACCAGCAGTGTCCACAGGCAACAACACATTTCCATTGCCTCTTAGAGTGTTCAATATAGCATCTAAAATTCCCAACCAAATAACAAATCCATTAAAAAAAACGTAGAAATGATATATACACACACATGCTACTTAAACAGCTATAGTGAATACTTATTTACCTATAAATTCTTGATCTCTTTGACGTCTAGAAGGCTGATTACTCAAAGCGTTATATGCATCTGTTATAAGAACAGCTGGTCGAACAAAAGATTCTAAAACTGTTCCATTTAAATGCCTGAAAGATCACCATAGCAAGTTAGAACATTCTGACTTGAAAAAATACTCAATGAGATACGGATGCAGTTGACCTTTCTTTTCGATGATTGAAGTCAACAGCATATATCACATCTTCTCCATCTTTA